TGCCCTGGCTGGCGACCGGGTTCCCGTACTCACCGGTAGGTGGCGCGCATCGGCGCGGCGAAGGAAGCTAGTGCTGTCTGAATGTTGTCCGCAGAGGTGATGAAATTTGGTGCTCGTATGTAGTGTGAAATTGATGTTCTCGGATCGTGTTTTTCCACCTCTAATTTTGTTCGCCACATCAAAAAACGCGTAAAAACGAAGTTTGGCGTTTCTCCGAAAAAAAAAAAAAACTGCAATTTAGTAATACCCTACTATTACCGTCAACTTCTCTCTTGAGCTTTTCATGCTATATTTTTAGAGATCATTCATCTCCCACAGCTAATCTCTCTTGTTTTTTAGGCAAGGATGGCGTCATATACGGCCTAGATTCTTCGTGAGGCAGCTCGCAGGTATTCATCCACTGTTCTGTGCCCCTAATTCAAATCTCATGCCACCTGATTGATGCGCCGGTCATTTGCGATAGTAATAAGACGACGGTTTAAGTAATAACTTAAATAACTTTTTCATAACGTATCATTACATTGTAATGAAGTTTTACAATATGTAATGAACAGTTTATTAAATATCATCACGAAAATCTTATGGAAACAGCTTCACAACATGTAATGAAAAATGTAATGAAACATTTTTAACAGTGTAATTGGCTGGCCATTGGCAAAACATTCTAAATCAAATCTAGTTATATCTTTGAGACGAACAACAACAGCTGTGAAGGGTACACAAAGTTATTACTAGGGACCCATGCGTGACCAATGTCATTTAAAATCATTACAGTTTTGGTACTAATTTTAATAACATTCGTAATGTCATAACCTTTTTGTAGAAAAAGCAAGCCTATCATAAAAATTCATACAAGTTCTGAAATTTAACGAGGCAGGCCTGTGAAATGTACTCTGCTAATCTTGGTGTGTATGTTGTAGTTGCAACTGGCGAACTGAAAGTTCGCCACTTCTAACTGCAGAACTCTTTAGTTCGCCAGTTCTATCTGCAGAACTCTTTAGTTCGCCAGTTGTTACTGTTTGCCAGTTGTTGAAGCAGAACTAAAAAGTTCCACAGTTACAACTGGCGAACTAAAGAGTTCTGCAGTTAGAACTGGCAAACTTTCAGTTCGTCAGTTGTAACTGGCAAACTACTACACACTAAGATTGGCAGAGTAAGGGTTTGCAAGAATCTTGACTCCATAAAAACTACACGCCGCATCGATTTTGAATTAAATGTGTATTACGAGCATAGATGGCCGCTAATTTTGCCGTTGGTGCCAGTACGCACGCACACTCTCCAGGAACATGCCGATCTTCGCCTTCGACTGGAACGATGCAGTCCCTCTCGGTGTGCACGATCGTAGCGTCGTAACGGGTGGGCCTGCAACGGTTAAAGAAAGATTGCTATGTACTCTTACAAGATGCCGCTAGCCGTTGGCCTGGCGGTTTTGCAAATTTCGAGATGGGACTGCTCGAAAAAAGTCACAAGGTACCAAACAAATTTTCCATTTTTTTCGTATTTCAGCAACATGATTGTTTTCGAGTACTTCGATCTCGAAATTTGCCAAAAATAAACTAGATCAACCATTAGCGGCATCTTTTGAGAGAAAGTAGCAACATTGTTGACAGTCGCAGACCAAGGGTGTGCCCGAATTCTCAAAGTTCCGTCCGGTTCGTTTCCTTTCGTTTCATTTCGGTCGAGGAGAGGGGGTAGGCACTGGCCGTGGCTAGCCACTCCTCAACCTCAGATTCACTTTCGGGTTTGGGCTGCGGACCAAATCGTCAAAAAAAAGTCAAAATGAATGGTCGTGTGCCGCTGGTCGTTCCCCTGATTCCCATTCTGTGAAGAAGGGGTCAGGCAGATTTTGACGCCTGGATTCATGTGGTAATGCGTAGGCGAAGATTAAATCACCGATGGTTAGAACGTGTGAGTTCTCCCAGCTCATTCTTCAGAACACACTATTTGTATGTTTTTGTGCAAAAGTTCTTTAATCTAAGTTTCGTTTTGAACAATTTTTGCGCAAAATGTCGTACTCATAAATGCAAAAAAGGATTCAACTCAATGCAGAAATGTGTGCAGAAAAAATGATTGCTTAAATTCATACAAATAAAAAAGCTATAAAACCAGTGCTACTGCCTATCTCTGACTCATAAGTAACCATCCCCTTATGTATTTCATTTTTTTAAATAAACTATGCAGGGTCTCTATTGTGTGCCAATTTGGGGTCGGCGAATAAGGAAACTCCTGAATCTGGACGAAGGATTGCTACAATCAGAGTGTCGTTTGACCCGCACCTCCTTCCACTCATTAATGTACTTTTTGACTGAGCATTTACCTCCAAGGAATCATGGATACTCTGAACAGTTTGCTGTGAGTCTGAAGGACAGGGCTATCTATCTAATCAATCAATCAATCAATCAATCTACATTTATGAAGTGAGTCCAAGAGACTACAGAGAGGGGACATGAAGCTGTAGGGCCCGGGGCTGCCGCCTTGCCGCACTGGAATACATCTAGCGGTCGCAATATTCGTCGCACAGGTCTCGTTTCGGTACCGAATCGTCCGGAAGGGATCAACGGATCGAATCGTACCGATATCAAAGTCGAAGTGCTCACCAGATTTAAACAGCCATCGCTCTAGTCCCGGGGACCCCTCTGTAGCCATCCGCCGCCAGGGTTGGCCACCGCCCGCTAGAAGCGGCGCGCGGCGTTCCGGGCGCGCTCTTGTTCTTTTTCCGCTCCGTGCTACGCCACGCCACTCCCCCGCCGGGCTTCGCAGCAGTAAACAAACTCGCTCATGGATTGGTGTGATTTTTCAATGGAAAAGGTACGTTTGTATGCACTGACGTTGTAAGTTATGATGAATCTCGTCAAATTAATAACATCGAAAAGAAAAATAAGGATAGATAATAGGGAACTGGCAGTGCGCGGTGCTTTGCGAGCGTCTGTCATAGATCCGTATCATATAACCCTAGTACAATCGTAACTCAATTATTTGTGCTTTGTTTCACTAATAATTCTCTGATTCCAGCCAGGATGAATAGCTCAATATTTTTGACACCATCTACTCGTGCCCCGACGACGTCGACACCTCGACGTTCTGCTGCAAAGTCAACCAAAAAGAAGACTTTTGTTAACCCTGTGTGTGATACTTGTCAGACTCGTGGGAAGGAGTACAGGTGCCACAGATCCTTTTTGAAACACCAGAGAGGCCACATTATTGTCGGTGAGCTTACCTACAAATATTGAACTCAATTTTTTTAACCTTTTTTTTGTGAAAATATTGACACACATTTTTTTTACCCCAGAACAAGCGTCAAAGTATCCCCAACTGGAGAAAATATTGGAGCATCTGTGTGACAACTTTGGGAATGCACTATACAAGCTGAACTCAAATGAAGCTTGCTTTGTGAAAGGCCAGCAGTACAAGGAATTTATCCAACAGTTGATTGGCTGTCATATCAATTTGGGTGATTTAGATGAGTGGAATCAATTTCTAAATATTATTCACAGTGCATTGACCAAAGGCCTTCAAGGTTCAAGATTCCTCCTACCCTCAGCATTAACTAAAATCCTTCAGAAAAATGCTGAACATTTTCTCTCCGATCTTCCTGAAAGACAACACCTCTGTTCCCTTTTTGATGTGTGCGTTGCTTCAGCTGATGAAGAAATGGTTCAGTTCTTTATAGCTGACTATGTTTTTTTCCTTGTTTACTACATAATTGTATTTGTAAGTCAGTGTGTTAGAAGTACCGTTCCAGCACCTCTAACTTTGGAGACTGGAATGCAAGCAGTAGATAATGACTATCTTGAGT